AGACAGACAGACAGGGAGAGACAGAGAGAGACAGACAGACAGGGAGAGACAGACAGGCTGCAGTGTGATTCAAACAGACTCAGGAATAAGATTAAAGTTGTCTTTAGTCTTACCCGGGGTGAACAGTATGGCTCCCTTCAGAAACGCGTATTCTCTGACGCTGATCCTCAGTCCTCGACACCACGCCAGAAACATTTTGATCCCCTCCGCGTCACTCACCGGCACCCCGGGGTCCCGGCTCTCTGCCGGAGTGCGCTCCTGCTGTCGCTCCTTGCTGTGAGTTAAAATCATGTGTAACAGACTCGGCTGCTGCGTCTCCACCGTGTCGAAGTCCACGGAGTCCTGCACCATGCCCAAAACCAGCAGCGGCGCCCAGCTGTTGCGCACAAGCCGGAGCTGGTCTCCCGCCGGCAAACCCCGAAAACACGGCACATTTTTCACGAATCTGAAAGTTTTCACAAGCACCTCCGAGGCCGCTTTGAAAACTAATTGCGGAGCCCGAATGGCGACCAGTTTCCTCCTGGACGCGCAGGAGCAGGGCTGTTGCGCGGCGACGGTCTCCAGGTGTCCCTGCGGGCTGTGAGCGCCTCTGTTGAGGAGGCTGTACAGGATGCTGCCCTCCCGGTCTCTGCACTCACAACACGACATGCCGCTTCTCAGAGCTGCCCCAATGGTTATGAGCTTGTTTTGACGAATATCATCTTTTTTATACGCTAGACTCGAGGCACTAACAACATACGTCCGGTCAGCATTTTCACAATAAAAGCATAACAACGTAGCAGCAAGTGCATGTCCAGCAGTAACTCATGATGTCACTCATGCTTTCTTTTTAGAACATAATCATATCTTCTATCTCTAAAATATGATACTGAATACTTATATTCATATATTGACGCAGTAAAATTTGATGTGCAGAAATTCAATGAAACTGTATTCTGTAAATATGTAACAGTAGTTAGTTACTGTATACATTATGGGTTTGTTTAGTGAAGTTAACCTTACTTATTTATGTTCTGTAACTAAACTATACAGTCCACCATTATATATTCCACTCTATAATAAGGTGTCAATGGGGATCCAGTAATCTGAATATTAGGCCTTAAAAGTTCTTAAATATGATTTATGATTCAATGAAGTCGATGTTAATTGTATAAAATGAACATTTTCGGTCTTGCATTTAAATTTGTAGGGGAAAAATTGTGTTGATCATACTGTAACAACTACAAAATGAAACCGACAGCAACCCATATACATTTTCTTCATATCCTGCATACTTCTTTTTCCCACAGTGGTCTTAAAAAGGTGTTAAAAGTCTTAAATCAAACCTTTTGAAACCTGCAGAAACCCTGAATTATGTTGGACTGTTGCAGAAGCACATTTCATTATATTTGCACCACTGGTAATAATATAATTACTTCAGAGTAATTCTGACTCCTACCTGCTGCTGTTTTATGTGGTACAGTTGTGAATGCATAGTTGCAGTTGCAGTGGAGAGTAATGTTGGGTTCTGAGTGATGTGATTGTGGTGTTTGTACTTGCAGAGAAGAGTGTTCAGATGGTGTAAAATGAGTGCAAAGTGTTACCCACAGCCAACAGTGACTAACCAGCCAACACTTCTCGTTGTAGCCATCATTTATTTTCAATTCACATGACATGTTTGGATGTAGTCGACATATGAAGCTTTAATTTGGAAAGCAAAATCAGCCAACATCCAGTCTGTCTCCAGCTGTGTGTAGCTGGCTTGATGCATCCTCCAAACAGACCTATTGTAGGCTAATAAGTCAGTTCAGGGCTGGCCCAAGACACTGGGGGGCCCCTGAGCGGGACTTTTTGGGGGCTCATCCCTCCATTGTGTGAAACATCAATCATCTGAGTGTTTTGCATAGGAAGACCATGTGCGTGTTTGTAATGAGTGCAGCAGAGCGATAACAGAGCTTCTTGCACATTCCAAGTTTCATAAATAAGTGGGGGAAAACCCTCTGCTCAGTCTCTGAGGCCTAATTTAAGGTGTGAAATCCTGTTTGTCTATGCAAAGCAAACTCCTGCAGATGGGTTTCAGAGGGCAGAGTGGACTCCTGTTAATGTGAGGTCCATTTCATTAACACAAACAACGTCAGACCACAGAGTGTTTGCAAAGGTTGACTTCAGGCTTTAGCTCCACATAGGGATTCATAAGTGCAGGTGTGATTGTATGTTGGCAGCTCTTCCAGTTGAGTAACTATTAGCATGTTTCTAACCGTTAGAATGATTCTGATTTCTGTCTTGGTAATGTTCAAACAGCGTTTTTATCTAATTCGAGTAGGAAACAAAATATTATCTCTCTTTGGAACCAGTCCAACCTGAGTAAGAAATGACAAAAGATGTAGCTTGTTTCAGATGTTTAACGCATTTAGTTCCCCTTTTAAGGAGGCCTAGATCTGTGAGTAATGTTACTGAAACTTATGTGACTGGATGTCTATAAGCCAATCACAGTGTTCCACATCATCTAAAGTAGACTGAACTGAGGGGGGGTCCCTTTTTTATATCAAGCATGGCTGACCATGAGACAAGGACGACGCGTAGGGCTCGTTTTCATCTTCAATCATCCATTAAAATGAATAAAATGATTACATAATGCAGTATTTTAATACTTATTTTATTGCATTTACAGTAGAAACCCACAGTAGTGTCATAGTGGAGCGTCATAGTCCCCAGCTGATTTTTGATGATGATAGTAAAGCTAAGCTTCGAATTCTGGTCTGCACCATGTCTGTGTCTGTTCAACCAACTAAATGATCTGTTTGTATCTGTTATTGAAGTGGGCAGGATTAACCAGGAGTTGATCATTTGAGCCTGAATTTGATATCAGACGTTGCATTAGAAAACTATTCACAGGACAGCCTCAGAATGGAGCTTCAGAGCAAAGAGAAAAGTTAGTTTTTTAAATAAAACTTACTATGCTATGTTTGTAGCCTAGTACTCACTCAACCCTACTGAATAAGTTCTTAATTCAGCTGTATTCACTGTGACATTTAGTTCAAAGGTGGCCCAGTGAACTAAATTACTCACCATTTCCATGTGAGTTTCAGTTTAGCTTCAGGTGACGTGACATCCTTTCATCTGTGACTCTTCTGACATTTGGGGCTTGTGAACTGAAAATGATCAGATAACAAAAACAAACCAACCAATGGGTTGTTTTTCTGGTGTTCAGGGAGTTGTCAAGGTTCAGTGAACAGTGACAGTTTCTTAAAGGTTTATTTATATAGCAAGTTTAAATCCAGTGACAACAAAACAAATGAACCAATGAACAATACAGGCTAATTCATTTCTTTATTTGCAGATCTCCTTTTTATATGATCCCAAGACCCCAGGGAGAGTGCCGGGCTTTAATTTGCAGCTGCACAATTAATCGTAATATTATCGAAATCGCAATATTTAAATCGTAAGAGCTGTAATGCTTTGATGAAGGTCAAATAAACAGCATGATAATGACGTAGTGTAGTGCTGCAGAGGTGCCCTGGTCTACAAATATCTTTTAAGAGAACATGTTTGTGTGGTACAGACCCCCAAAACCTTCACATAATTATGATTTTTATAATATGAAAATTCAATTTGTGATGTAAAAAGGATCATTCCCACATACATTGTGAAAGAAGCTGCTGTAATACGATGGATACATTCTTTGAGCATCACCTTGTTTTGGCTTTATGTGCCACTGAGAACAGAGCGCCACCTCCAATACTGTATCCAGTTCTCTTAATACATCCATGATACGATCAAGCACTGATTTAAAAATGCATTATGGACTGTGACCATATACAGCCAGAGATGTTTGAGTGGGGGTCAGAGCAGAGGAAATGTGAGATTGTTGGTGTCAGAAGTCTTGCAGCAGAATTCTCTACTTTCGTCCAACCTTGAAGGATAGTAAAGTTTTCTGACATTGAATCTCATCACTACTGATGAGTAGTTTTTTTTCTCCAGAGGCATGTAGACATTAGAGTTTAATTCCATTTCCTGAGCAACAGGTTTCAAAGCAGCAGAGTGACACGAGCATAAAAGCAACGGTGCCCTCGGTGTGTAATTACCTGACAAGGCCAGACGTTTCTCCTTGTGCAGGCAACAGTTTCTATAGTAACGAAGTGTGGCAGAAAACATGCGTCTGAATTCAACCCAAGAATAAATCATGATAATTATACAAAGATCTTTCTAGGACATAAATGAGATCAACTTAATGCAGAATTCTGAAGGACTGAGGCGCTTTTCATCAAAGTTTTTACTAATGACCCTGACTATTTCTCAGGGTTGTTTATGAAGAGTTTCATTTATCATCAGGGCCTTTTGCACCTTTTCACATTGCACTTAAACAACTCCAATGCTGAGAAAAGCCTCGAGTCAAATAACAGAAAGCTCTCCTTTTGTAACAGTTTGGTCTTTATATCAAGTTTATGAGAAAAGACGTAACGTGTTACACGCAATGCTCAAAGTGAGAGAGAAATCGATGATGCAGTCCATCTGAAACACTTGCGGTTTACCAGACAGGTTTCAGAATGACTCGAGAATGTACGGTAGGCAATCGGCTGTCTCTTTCAAGCAATCAAAAACTAAATCCTTCTAGAGGCATTGCTGTCTGACAGAAAGGGCTCTTTAACAGTGCACCTTCTTATTCCACTGTTAACTTCTAAACTTTCATTAAATGTGAAGAACTTTAACTTTCTGAATTAAAAAAAAAATGGTTTAAGGACGACTCGTATCCATCTCTGTTGTTTCTTAAAATGATTTTGCAGAACATTGAACTCATAAACATGCCTGGATTTGGCAGCTGCAAAGCCTCTCAAAAGTATAATAAAGTATAATTTAGTATATATACTATAACTCAACTGTAGACTCAAGTTTTAGTCATCAGCCTGGTAATTTACTTTTAAAATGAATGAAAAATCAATTTCATCAGACTGTCCACCTCTTTAACATCAGAAATGTAGTGTGAAATGAGGCCTTTGGTAAATAACCAACAGGTAACAGCTTCTATTTACTCTAAAAACATGTTAAGCTGCCGCACTCTTTGCAGACGTGTTATTACTGTTGCTCAGACAATAACCGAGTGAAGAAAATGCTTTCAATATCCAGTAACTCAAAACCAGATAACCACCAGACAATGCTTTACAAGTGGCTGCTGAACTCTCATCATATCACAGGATTTCCTGCTTTCTCAGCTCAAAGCAGCCAATTCAGAACCGTTGGAGCAAGCAGTGACTTATCTGTGCTTCCGAGCCAGAGTACACAGTCAAACAGCCATCTCTGCAAACACACAGCGGAGGAAAAACAACAGTCCGCCACCAAGCGATGCCCCGAGATGAGCCAGCAAACTCCCCGCTCCATTTAGCACTGAGTTATTCCATCAGGCCTGTCCGTCTGTCTCTTGAGGGACAACATCAGTCACCTATCAGCTCTACGCGCCTCACAAGACTGATAGATTCAACCTTGGACAAAAGGACAGCAGGCGGACGGACAGGCAGCATATCACTGCTGTCAGGGGAAGACCTTTTATCTCCAAACTGTCGGCTTTTCAGGAGTCTAGAAAAACGGGCTGCTTTTAACCGTTGACCATCTTTTACGAGTGACGAGTTTGGTCAGACTTGAGCAGGGCCAGAATGTTCTCAGGCTTTCCGCTTCAACATGTTAACCCTGAATCTGTATATCAATTTAAAACAGCTTGAGGTACAAAAACCTTGGAAATCTAGTGGTCGATAAAAATGCTGCTTGTTTTGGGGATTTTTCCTGTTTGTCTGCTCCCCCCTTGGACATTTTCTGGACATCGACCTCATTCACATCCTTTACTCGCATCCGAGTTCTTCTTTGGAGTCCACACCTAAATGAAACATCACAGTACGATCCGGACAGGAGTGGACTCAGCAGGCCGTCACCAATCCTTGCTACCATTCCCTTGGCATCATGTGGGGATCACTGAGGACTTTTTCTTAAATGAAGAGCCAGGCTTCGCTGAGGCCCCTGGCTCTCGTGTGCAAACAGGACCCAGAGTTTGCCGATAGGCTTGCTTTCTTCAGATAGAGGTGTCACTCTGCTTCTGATGCTCATTCTGTCTCCTAGCAGAAGCCTAGTATGTCCTTGTCCTTGTCTACCCTGTAGCTGGTCTCCCAGTCGGTTAGCCTCCAACCTGCTATTCAGCTATTGTCGTTCTGTTCCTCCAAGTTTAATATTGTTGTTTTGTCTACTCTGTATGACATTTACTGGCACGGCTGTCCTCTCTGTAAGAGCGATCCCTCCTGTATTGCTATTCTTATGGTTCATCCCTTTATCCAATTCATCCAATTCAAGGCTTTAAGAATAAAGGGTCACATTTCATACAGATTTTGAAGCCCTTTGAGGCTATAAATGATTTGAGTTGTCTAGCTTCCAGCTTCCAGCCTCCACAGGTTCCTGCAGCCTCACAGGTTGTATGTACTCAGCCTGCTGAGCCAGCAGTGCAACACCTGTAGAACCATCCTGACAGCGGGACACCTTAAGCTAACTAAGCCTTGTGTGGACGGTTCCGGGGGTCGTAGGTTGCATAAGCTGCTCAGCGTTGTGGTTTCTCCACTGCTCTGACCACCTGCCCCTGGTCTCCAGCTGTGTCTTCAGTTGGCTGCCTGCCTGCTTGCTTCCCAGCAGTGTAGCACTCCAGGGTTGGCTAGCCTCCAACCAGACTGAGTCAGCGAGCCTCCAGTCTGCTATTTGGCCATTGTCCATTTGCTTTCTCCATACTGTATATTATAATTTACTGTTATGTGTTTAATCTGTATATATGACACTTGCTTCAAGTCAGTCCTTCCTTAAAGAGTGAATCATCTCTGGCCTCCTGGTCTCTGTTGTCCCTTGCCTAACCCAGTCATCTGACTGTCCTCCCACCTCTGTCCATGAGCCTTTTTTGTCAAAATTGTGTTTCTGTGCATCTCATTTAAAGTTCAGTTCACCTAAACTGCACTTTTTTTTATGTAATTTGTAGATTTTTTAGATATTCTCGAATATATTTTCTGCCTTAACCAGAATACAGTGGAATTGTTTTTGCTCAGCATTAAATAATTACATTTAAAATATTCAACATAATCAGTGTTCCTGTCACTCTGGATAATCCACAGAACACATGCACAGTTCTTAAAGAGAGTATTTCTTTGGTAGAAAGTAGCAGTTTACATCCATGTCTGTCCAGACTTTTTTCATGATGAAGAATTTATTGAATGGTGTATTTTTTTGGCTTAATGGAAATGAAAAGAGATTTTTCTTAGAGAAAGATAGAAACCCCTAACACTGGGCAACCCCAGCATGGCTAAATACCAGTAGAAGTAACTTAGAGTTTGTCTGACAATTTCTTGTCATTTGGAGGAACTGAACTTGAATTAGATTTATTTTTTTACACCTCAGGCCCAGCAGCTTGTAGGGTGGCAGAGTGTGTGACTTGTGTTCTTGCTTCCTGATTGTGGTGCCCTGTTTTAAACTAGAGACTGTGGAAACGTCCCACACGGCTCATATTGTGCAGCTTCTTCCAGCACATCACTGATTGGATTGAAGCCTGCAGGCAGACACTCAACATGTCCTTGATGACCGAACCTCAGTCTGCAGCTTTGATATTCATTATTCTGAACTCAGTCTGAACTCATTGTTTGTGCTTGTAGGGGCAACCAACCGGTTTGTGTTTTGTTTTTAAAAAAGAGACTTATTTGTAGTCCTTATATGCTCCTGTTTGATTTGAACAGCCAGACAGGCAGAGAGGGAAAAACAGAGGCATCAAATATGAATTTGACAGCAGGTGAAATAAGCTATTCAACTTCTTAAATGCTCTTTTGCCATATGCAGTCGTTAAAATAACTGAATTAAAATTTAATGTATTAAAAGTTTTTTTTTAATGAACTTGACATGACATTTGTGAGTGAAAATGTCTTGATATAATGTACTGCTGTAAGCTGCATTATCACTACACCAACAACAAAAGGTTTCTTATGATTGCCCAGATTTAAGCAGCATACATTTTAACGGTCAATCTCCTGAATGACCAAAAAATATCCCAAAAATCACTTTAATCAACTTGTGCATGTACAAATTAATTATTACTTATCAATCTATAGCAGTATTGGCCTTGGATTCAACCAGTAAACCCTGAACAGATTCAGCTGAGGCTTTGCAATCCTCTTTTAATGACCAGACCCTTGTCTCTCCTTGAAAACTGTGCTTCAAATCAATACAGGCAGAAAGAAATCTGTTTATTAGGTGTTCCTGTGTTACTTAACCAGGGCCTGGCAGCTGTTTGAACTGAGCTTTATTTTTGCATGAGGATATCAATGAGTTTATGACTACAACAAACAATGCAATGCTGTATTATTAATGAGGAGAATGTGATTTTATATAGACCTTCATTGCGCTTTCCTTGTGGGCATGACATTGAATGTAGAGTAGATTTACATAGTTGTCTATGGAAGCGTCTCTCATTAAAACCGGATCATTGAGAAATCCAATAGATAAATCTCCACTTGTTGCAGAGCAGCGAGAAACAGAAATTTAGTTTGTTTGGCAAACAGTCTTTTTAAGCAGCCCTATAGTGTGTTCGACTGATTTAAATCCCTTTTTTAAATCTGTACGTAAAATACAACAATATAGTTGTTCGCACACATTAAGTTGCACACACACACTTCAGAAAAGAAGCAGAAGGAAGACGAGGCAGTTTACTTTAAACACGTAAAAGGAAATATATTTTTTTTAAAAATGAAATAACAAAAAAGAACAACATTTCATACAGAAGAGCTGCTTTTGTCATTTGCAGAGGTAATTTACACAGGACTTGAAATGAAAACACTTTACTTGAAGTGGAACAGCAGCAGCCACACCACACAGCTGAAAATATTGACTTTTTTTAAATTGTATTTAATTTTTTTTAAAGACCCTTCAACTGTCTGTATACTGAGTTACTGTAGGCGGGGTGGCGCTGTGCCACTTCTGGTAAAGCATGAAGAGGTTATGTCACATACTGAGCTTCTTTTAAGGATTAATATACACTGGCTCTTGGTAATTCACTCGTATGACGTACGCACCATTGAAACATTTACACACAAAATTTAGAGTTATTTTTCTCTCCCTCAAAACAAGAATACTCCTTATATTTTTAAAGACAACAGTTAACAGTTCCAAAATGGTGGCTCTAGGATTGGATTAATCCCACCTACATGAGGCCCTCCCCTTCCACACAGGCATTCCTTATGAACACTTTTCATTTTAACAAGTGTGGCTCACTGTTTGAGTGCGAGGAAAGAAGAAAATGGTTGTCGTGGCGGTCTGCCTGGCAGAAACCAGGGGTGTGCATAGGTGTTACCGACTTCTTCCCCGAGGCTCTGATAAGGCAGTTTATTTTCTCCTTTCAGTTTATTTTTTTTTCTCTTTTTTTGTCTTCCAGCTCAGGAGCCATGTTTAGTTGTGGATGTAAGTGCTTTTTCATAGCTGGTCATGCCCTAAGAACGATATTCCAGATCCATTGACCACTGATTAGCATTTCACGTAGAGGGAGAGGGGTAAACACAGCCAGAAGAGAGTAGGCAAGACCAAATGAAAACTGTGAGGTGACGGGATGCAGCACGTCTTCTTCATTGTCCATTTTGTGCAAACTGAGATGTAAACAAAGACCGTCAGAGGTTGAGAAGGGAAGCATGGTACAAGAGGCTACAGCAACACACGGAAAGACAGCGTAGAGGGATGCAGTGTGCTCCTTCAACAGACTGACAGGCACAGAGGGCCAGTGAAATAAATAAAGGGCTGGGGGCGGGTGAGGGAGAAAGAAACTGCCAAGTTTCCTGTGCTTTTTGCTTCACTCAAACTTGCATTTGGAGCTGAGGGAGTTACTTGTTGCCACTATAGCAGCTTCTAATGTGCTTCAGAGTTCGGCTTGTTTGTCACAGGGGCCGAGGAGATTGGGGGATGTTGGAGGGGAGGACACAGAGTACCACAAGAAGTGCCTTTAAAGGTCAACACACACACTGGCACCCACATAAGACTGCTTTATGGTCATGCTCGCTATTGCCTTTCCAATATTACCACCCATCCATCAATTACAAAAGAAAAGTACAAAATATCTACCACACTGCCCCTCCACTGCCCACCCTTCCACTATATAAGGACAGAACCATATTCACTTAGTTTTTTATCGTTTATATATATATATGTATATATGTACACAACAATATGCCTTTGAGGCTGTTGAGAAAAAGTGGGTAGGGGCAGGATGAAGTCTCTGTCGTGAGTCATTAGTTTCTTCATTTCCCTCTTTTTCAACAACAGTGTATCTACAGAAATGTATGATTCCGATGAGAGACGTGATTCAAGGGGATTTGACCAAAGTTTAGCATCCGCGTTGGATCAGAGATGGATCGTTCAGGGCGATGAGCGAATTGCCGTTGAGTGTATGTCAGTAGACCCAGGAGACGGGGACCCACTGAGCAGTGGTGGACACCAGGTCTACAGCCTCCTCCAGCAGTCGGATGGTGTCATCAATCTCGTTGTTGATGATGGTCTGGTCAAAGTAGTGAGCGTAGGTCCGCTGCAGCATCTCTGATTCCTTCTGAAGCCGCTGAAGAGAGTCATCCTGAGTGTGATTGAGGAGAAACAGAGAGAGGGGTAAATGGCTGGTTGTGGCGCATTCAGGCTGTTTGTGGTCCACTTCTATATGTTTGACTGGCAAAACTTGTAGTCACTTGCAGTATTTGCAACATCTTATGATGGAAGAGGTTAATGCCGACATTCGATTGAGCTGTAGTTGGCTGAATAATTTCATAAATGGGCTAAAATACAACACAAGAACTCGGGTGTTGTCTGGTCAATCTCCTCTTGCCAAAGATTGTTTCAAGATTGAACTTTCTCGTTCTTTTGTTTATTAAATTAAATTTTAGATTAAATAACACCAACACAGCGATGATTCTTCCTCCAGATAAGCCACTTTATTGTAAATGTGTCGCTGTCATCAGTAAATATAACGCATTTTTTAAATGTTGTAAATTTTGACTGTTAACCAGTAATATGATATCATACTAAAAGCAGGTTTCAACGGGTTCAATTTTAGGCTTTTTAAGACCTATTTTACATCCATACTGGCAAAAAGTATGAAGGAAATTCAATGTTGGTTCCATGTCGGTTTTATTCTATAGTTGTTACAGTATGATCAATTATTAATTATTTCCCAAAAACATATTTAAAAGTGAGACTGAGAAAATGTAACTTCATACCAGTAACATTAATTTCTGTAATCCAATACATTTAACGTATTTAAGGCCTGAAATTCAGATGATGGCTTTCAAGACTTTTGATGACTCAGCAGACATCCTGTAAAAGTGAGCTAAATTGTTTAGTTATGAAAGTAGCTATGCTTCTTAAACAACAAACAGTACGATCTAAATATTGCTTCATATTATGTAGACCACAAATTCAAGCCTGAAGTTTGTCTAAATCACAATACTGATCAGAAAATTGCAATTCGATATCCCCCCACATCATCCAGTGTAGAGGAAGGACAAATGAAATGGACAGGCAGGGTTGGGCCAAAGGAGAAAACGTTGCATCAAAAATGAAGATGCACTACTGAGAGAGCACACAATTAAAGAGGATTATTAGAGGGATTAGAGGATTTAGAGGAAATCAAGGGGAATACGAGTGGACAAAGCTGGACGAGTTCTAGAGCTACACAAACACAGAGGCCAGACATGCCTTTCTACAATCTCCTAACAAGCTCAACTCACAGCGTTTAACCACTACTTACTGGTAGTTTCCTGCACCACTTTGGAACCTTGGGTGCAAATGAGAATAGGCATGCCAAAGAAAACACAAACATGCTTAAAGCATACAGAGCACGTGCAGTGAGAGAAACACTGAGCGAAGCAAGAAGGACGACAGATACAAAAAATGAAGGCGTCTTTCACACTGGATTGGATTGTTTTAATTCAGCTAGTCTGCTTTTCCTTTTGTCAACAAAGTGTTTATTTATACCACCACTGCCAGTACACAAAAGTACCACTTGTTTTGAAGTAGGCCAGAAAAGTCCCATTATCATTTGATATCAAATTAGACTGAAATGTCTCTGAGTTCAGACTATAATGCCAGTGTGACTGAATGGGAGTTAGTACGTGCAAATAAAGCAAACTGGAACAGTTTGGGGACGAGTGTGAGAGGAAGCAAGTGTGTGACTGTACCTCGGTCATGCCAGGGGTGATGTTGGGAGCCGCGATGAAGACAACATAGGGCGCAAACTCAGCTGTCCTTAGGATCTTTAGTGCCTGATGAGAGACAGAAAGGGAATTCTGTAGTTCTTTCAAACAAACTGCCAAACAAAATGCAAGCAAAAGTTTCAACAAGCACAACAGTATTGGCTACCAGGGCTACAAACAATTACAAATCACTAATAATAGGTTTCAACATCAGGGTAGTTTTAATTTAACTTCCAGTCAGCCCATTAAATTCCAAACATTTTAAGCTGTATGTAAACATGTATATAAAAAGAAAAAAACAAGGATGCAGAATTAATTGAAACATTATCGAAGTGGAATATTTTTGATGAATGTAAAATGTGTGACAAACGGCACAAATCCTGTTCTCCAGATGCAACAGAAAAACATATCGGTACGAACACCAGCAAACATTAGATTAACATGATTTTAATCTTTTTTTTCAGTAATAATGTAATTTGTGATGCAAAAATGATCATTCCCAACCTTAACGTGATATGTCACAATAATCACAACATGGTGTTTTTACCATATTGTGCAGCCCTAAAAAAGACACTGAAGTTCTGTAATGGCATAACTTGACAACATGACAGGAGCCGTGTATGCTATTTGGTATTTAGCATAGTAGTGAGTGAAAAAGCCCTACTTCTTCTGTGGTGGTAACGCTAGAAAACAGCAGATCATTTGAACAGAATTGATATTAATGAAGGCATCAGTCAGTTGATTTTAAAACTTTATTTGCAGTTGCTGTTGCAGATGTCGTTGTCCTTGTGCTGCTGTAGACTGACCAATGATGTGATGGCATTGTATTCACAAATGAGCGTGCTGTCATGATTTTTATGCGTAAGTGACTCTAGGACTTTTTGTTAAACATGAAGTTGTCATGTAAAACTGCTGGTCCTTTTAGTAAGTGCATGTCTGAAAATGACTTTTCAGATACATAAAGCTGTTGTTACCTGTGGTTCAACATCCAGGATGGAGATCATGCCCTGTGCATGGATCTGCCTGATAGTCTCCAGCCTGGTTCCATACATGGCATCCTCATGGCTGCCGTACTCCAGGTAGTCGTTGTTGCTGATGTCCTGCATCATCTGGTCGTGAGACACGAAGTAGTAGTTCTTTCCGTTCTCCTCGTCTTTCTTAGGAGGCCGAGTTGTGTCTGAGCAGAAAGAGATGAAAACCACATTACATTGAAGTCTGTGTGCGCTCGTGCTGTTGATGATGTTTATTCTTTCATTTCGCATTATATCCATAACCCAATACAACATAACTATTCTGCCTACAGACTGAACAGTGTCCGGCTCTCTGGCGTGCTGCAGTCAGTGTATTGTTTCCATTATCAGAGCTTCTGTGTCGCTGGTAGTGCATTTTGCTGCTCTAGCTCAACCCAGTTAAATGTGTTATATTCTTCATTACAGCGGATAATTCCCCACTATACATTATAACTTCTACTAGTTCAGACAAACACTCATAGCTCTCCCCCAGTTCTGCTAGCTACACTACTTTAGCTATCCCTCTGCCTCCTTTAATGATAAATGGTACATGTAATAAATGTACCTTATTTTCCCAGCTGGATGCGAGGCGTGAACTGGAAGCTAACTCGTTGGCTGCTGTAGTTATGCAGCCCGTAGTAGACAATGTAGTTCCTGTTATGATTTGCTGCTATAGATTGTTCACATCTAACAATAATAATACAGGGACTACTTCAGTAGCTGATAGTGATCTGATACGATTTCTCTGACATGTAACCACCCTGTGCAGATGTTATTAGTGAGTGTGTGTGTGTCTCCTTACGAGGGATGGGGTAGGCAAAGCGGTCAGGATGTTTGGTAATGAGCGTGTTCTTGATGTGCCTCCTACCAACTCCATGTGCACCTGAATGAAAGGAGACAACAGGTTGGTCAATCCAGTAATAGGCAGTTCCAAACTGTGACTTAATTGCTTGACATGCTTGTAGTCTTTGTATTTGTTAAAATTCTGGCATTTTTACAGTATTTAATTTTTTACATGACTGGACCTTTATGTAGGATTATACTGTTTTATTCTGTCAGTACACAGAATATAAAACCTTTTAATGTGATCATGCATATACTGAAGGATTGGATTACTTTTGGGGTTTTCTTGGCCCCACAAAATGATAGAATACATGAAGGGTCTTCGTATTTCTCCAGCCTTTCCCTTCACTCAGTCTATTGTATCAGGACGTAGTGTTACCCATAGCTATTGCATGTCATCTCATACACCACTCCAGATCTCCTCTCCTGGGGGGGTTGTGTCTTTAGGATGTACCAGCAGAGATCTTGCAGGAGAGATTTGGCATGCCATAGGTACAATGAATGACTCGAGGGTTGCTGTAACCGCCTGTCATGTAATGCCACCATAGAAAGTTCATCTGAAGCTAAAATGAGGCTTCAGCAGTCCAAATTAGCCAAGTACAATGGGTAGCTTACAAACTGATAGCCTTTTTAGTATGTGTGTTTCCTTGCTGGGAGTGGCAGTTGCATATAGGTGTAGGAATACACAATCAATTTGTCAAACTCACAGTACTGAAGCTTATCATCAGCTCAGGGGAACTCTGGAATATATTTTTGGACATAAGAATAGTTGATTTTGTCCTCTGTTTCTTATAGTAGTCCCTCCACAGTGGTGTTGTTTCACAGCCAGTATCAGAGTAGCAAACCATAACTCATTCAATGTACATAATGCATGAGAGTGTTAAGATATAGTTGAAAAATCCAAATCTGTGCTTTAAAGAATTGAGTTGGTTTGTGCTGCCAGGGATGCCTCCAGTGCCAGATGTGCTCTGCCTGCCAGATGTGCTTGAGGTCCTGCATTTACACATGCTGTAACACATTTACAAATTGCTGTCGGAAAAAGGGCAACTCTCAATAGAGATGAGAAGGAAACGAGATGGCTCACTCATTAGCTACTTCCGTAATCCGCTCTGAAACAATGTGTTACAATACATTATTTTATTCTTTTGTATGAAAGTTCCCTACTTCTCAGTATTAGCTGAAATAATGTTAATAACTTAAAACTTTAGCACCGCTTTTGCTAATATGTTATCTAAAAGCTGCAGCGTATGGTCCATGCATGTGTCACCATAACTATATACTCATACCTCATCAGACTGCATCCAGAAGATGATAAAAAATGTTTGTAAAGTCTTAACATTGTGAATGAAACACAGCTGGAGCTGATGATGGAAGTAGGTAAAGAGTGAGCCATCTTGCTTTCTATGCACGTCTGTTGAGAGCTGCACAGTACAGCCAATCATGTGTTATGGCATCTGTAAACACAGGACCCGGGGCCAATCTGGCAGGCAGAGCACATCTGGTACCAACACCAGTAGTCCCCACTGATTGAGTTGTCTGTTCTGGTCGCAGTAGGAAATTCTCATAATCCACTTCTGAAACCTTTTGACTTTCCTCTCTCTATCCTCCTCATCGTCTCTGATAAGATGTTCTGCAAGTGATCTTTTATGTTGTTTGTTGTGGAGTTTAACTTGAGATATTGGTGTTCCTGTCAGCATTCACATGAACACAGCTGTCCACACTCTTCTAGCTCTTTTAAAAATATGTGCATTAAATAAACCGTGTCACACTACTAATGTAGTATTTCGATGGTCAGATCAAAGAGATCAAGGTTGGTTCTATCTCATCAGCTGTGGTCTTGTGGTAGACGCTATTTATTCACTTCATAGAAATTCTAGTAAATGGTGCACTGATATCAGAAAGGGTGCCAGTTTCTGTGACGCATTTTCAGATTAACTGATCTTCGACAATCTGTACGATTTTTAAGATTAAGTTGTGTGTAGCCTGTACAACTTTGGCATGTAATATTCTGTATGGTTTCCCGCGACGGCTCTGCCTTGAATTTAACATATGTGCTATTCACAAAGAAGAATTTCAACTGTTATCTTCTCATTGTCCAACAGTAGGAACAGGAATCTTCTTTTTCGTACCAGCTATAACTTTGTAAATCCTTCTTGTTTTTAATGTGTTGACATGCAAGCTTAGTTGCTGGTATGATTTCACCATAGCTTTCTCAGAAGTTCATACCCTTGCACAACTTTTCAGCTCACATTGTCAATGATTCTCAGAAACTAAGTTAGACAGTTTCTGTTTTCTGTAGTTGTCTATTTATTGCTTAGCCTCCCAGAATGTATTGTGATAACTGCACTAGGTGATGCAACAACATAGCCTGGGTGTGTTGTAATTTGTTGGGTTTCACTTTCTCTTCCTCCAAATGATACAAAGTTAAAGAACACAGTGCACTACCAGAAATTTTTTTTCTTGCTTCCTCAATGTTGTGGGTTATCTTGATATAATACTCACATGCTGTATGTACTTTGGGATAGTTACTGGTTGCCATATTGCATGTGAAGAACAACCACACTGTTTAAAATGGTGGTCACAATAGTCAGTTCTTTGTCCTTGCAAAAAATGCATCCACTGAGGCTTCAACAGTCTCAGTTAGCCAAACTGAATGGGTATTTTTGTCCTGGATGTGTCCCGCCACTGTAGCTTACCAAGCTTTAGCTATCTTTAAAATGAATTCTGCACAGAACAAAGACTGTGGATTTTAAACACCATTTCTTCAAGTGTGGGTATTGCTTCATGATCAGTATAAAGATTCATTGCACATATGGGAATTTGAGTATTGTATGAAAATAAACCTATTCTTCAATGCATGTCACTGTACGTGGTTCTTTTACTGCTCAATTTTGACCACTTTTTTTTTAACTTCCCTCTTCTGTTGGACTAACATGTAAGATCCACAGACAGTTAAAAATCATTGTTATACTGTAGCATTGAGATGAGATGTATTAAATAGCTTATGTCATCAGACACAATTTTGAAGAGAATTCCAACAGTAACATCAATGTTTACACCATGTTGTTTCATCAGCTAGCACAGACTTGAAAGAAAACATTCAAGGAGACTAAATGTAAAGATGCTAATAAAATTAACATCTGTTCAAGAAAGGGACATGCATCTGAATATGAGACCTGAAAGAAGTTTTGGTGAATTAAATAACAGCTTCTGAGCTTGCATGTCGATGAGAATTGACTGAGCTTTATAAGCATCTGATCATCCAACTGCTAGAGTTGCACCTTGGCACAATTTATTTGACCAAATAGCCCACATCTCCATTTACAACATAAAGATCAGAGGTGAACACCTTGTCAGTGTAAAGGATAGAGGGAGAGATGCAGCTTGCCCCGGGGGCCACTTCAGGCCAACGGGTACAAGGAGTGGATAATGAGTATCAGCAGGGACTACCAGAGTCATAAAGAGACAGCACTTTAAAACATTAAACTCCTGAAACTCTCTTGGTACATCACATGCAACAGCTATAGGGAACACAGTACATTGGTGGAAGGACAAGAGACTGGTTGAACACTGGAAACAAACACCAGCCCAAAACCAGTCACAGTCAACCAGGGGTTAGTGGATGGAAGAAGAGGGCATTCACACCCAAACACTCTCCTTGAATCCAGATTATATTTATTGTTCCTTTTAAAGTTTGTAATGTAAAGAACAGGCTGAGAATCTGAGGGTTTTCTATCCAACCAGACACCAAAGTAACATCTGTAATCAGTGTTTGGTTAGAATGAACCTGCAGACTAACACTACTTTTACTGTGTTTACTTACCAAGCAAAACCAGTGTTTTCCTCTTGAACGATGGCAGTTTGACCACTTCCTCATAAGTCACCAGGTCTAGTTGGTCAAACACTGAAGAACAGAGGAGAAACATTAGGATTAGCAGCTGTATATAATGGATTGTACTAAATTCAGGGGTTAGCTATTTAAAAGCATGTTAATATAGAAAATGAATTCAACTAACTCTACAGGTGATACAACAGTCCTGTATTAAAATAAAGTTTTTTTTTTTTAAACCTGTGTAAATGACACTCTAAAAGCAGTTTCAACAAAAACTCAACATTTGACATGAAGGTATGAATTATTGCAGGGCTGTTGTATCAAATGGCATCAGTTCCCAGTGATAAACATACTCCACAATAATGCGAACACAAATGTATCTCAATAAATAAATGCTAACCTAATAGAGAATCAGAGGGGACACAAGCAATGCCACTGCTAATGAGATTTTAACATTCATTTCAATGTTTTTTAAATATTTAAAGCCAAGTTATTCAAATGATGCCATAATGTACATTAAACAAGCACCTAGCAGACTTAAGGAAGGTCAGCTACCTTGAGAAAGCATTAAAACGTGCTTATTTGCACTAACCTTGGTCAGACAGAAAAACATAACCAAGCTGAGCTGACTAGCATCTCTTCAATTTAAATTACATTTCTAATTTATAATAACAAACCAAACAAAGCAGCTGTCATTGAAAAGTCAATGAGACATTAGGAAGAGGACGAGGTTTAAAAGCAAAGAGGGGGAAGAAAAACACAAGCTGGTTGCCAGCTGTCTGGAGTTACTTACATGCAGCCATGTCATTGGGTAAGAGACAGCATGAAATATGGACAAAGGGTGGGAGCGGAAGGGTTAATAAAAAGACACCATAAAAGGAGACAAATTGAACAAAAAATCACCATAACAAAAACTGTAAAAATCAAAAGCTGTTAATTGCAACGCTGTTAGTGACTTGAGACAGCAGTAGGAGAGGTCTGTCAGAGGGAGAACAGGCGTGCAGCAGTTACACAGACCGGACAATACAAAGGTGCAACAATGTCATTATTTATCCCACATGCCCTTTAAAACACTTCAATAAAAACCATCAGATTTTTAAATGCTAAAACAAAAATACTACAGAATCACCAACAAGTGAGGTTGTGCTCAGAATTTAATTATGGGTTGCATCACACTTAATTAGCAAGTTAGTTTCATAGTGCTACCTGCAGTTGTAATTTGAGAGCAGATTTCTTACACTTTGTAATTGGGGTCAACTGCACAGTCAGATGGAAAACTTCCCTTTTGCCTTAGTGAGCTATCAAATGAAATGCTTGTAGTGGGTTAGCTTAGCTCTGTTGCACCGTTTGTTGGCTTACCTGCATTGTGCTTGGCCAGGTACTTGTCTTTGTACTGTTTCTTCTTCTTACCAAACCAGGTACAACTGGCCTGCTGTTCCTGTTTGGTCTTCTCCATTGCTATACACGCCACACGCCTGAAAAGAACAAAGGCTGTTTAATTAAATGGCTTTGTCCTTGTCAGTAATTCAAAATGTATTATTCTAGATGCTCAAACATGAAGTAAATGTTTGCTTTCTTAGCCCATGTTATACAAGTAGCCAGTCATAGCTTTTAAGCCACTAACTTGTGTTTTGATCTCTGCACTAAAAACTGTTAATAGACCTTTTAAATAGTAGGATAAACACAGGCGTTACCAATTAAAGTTTTGGTGCTATAGCACATGTTGGATCACTGGTAAGACTATGCTACCATAAATGGAACTGAACCTTAATTAATATCATTGGTAACACCTGTGTTTACCCTGCTATTTCATGTCAAAATGGAAATAAAATATATCTATAAAAAAGGTGCTTAATGGTAATGAATGCTGCAATAAGGCCTAACTAATGAAAGTTATAATATTCAGTTTGACACAATACAATTCAAAAACTGAACCGTATAACCTTCATGACAGGACTTGTTGCAGGGCTGTTGGTTAGACTGCATTAGTTTTAGCTAGTTTACCTAATAAACTGGAACCTGAGTGTGAATGTACCTAACAGCAGAGTACAGATAAAAGTGTTGTTGTTGTTGTTTTCAGGTGTTTTACTCACCACTCCTGCAGCTCAGGTGAGGGGATGAGGCCTGCGGTGCCATTCTTGGTGTTCTCCAGCTTTCCCTGCCACCAGTTGTGGTCGTCCTTGGAGATGATCTGAATGATGTCACCCACCCGGAAGCGAATGCCTGCCTCCTTACATGGGATGAGGTCGTCTTTCGCCGGGTCATACTCAAACTGAGCACGTACATAAATCTGTAAGGGCAGGACAGCGAGACAAAAGTTCTTAGGTGCTGACACAGTGGTAAACAATAGCGTTGTGATCATAGGAGAATATATGGGAAAGAATATGATGGGCCAAGCTGCCCATATGAAAGGAGACTGGCTGCTCAATCGTTAGGGAGTTAGAAATGCGGCGCTGACGTTTGTCATTAAAAGATAAAAAGACAGCAGAGGGAACATCAAGAGCGTAGCGTATAAGCCGAAGCAGGAAAGGGCACAGACATTTAGATACATGAACAGCAAGACGAAAATGGTCGACCAAAGCACATCTCTGCCTGTGGGAGTATCCATTTTATCGACGGCTTTTGCACAGATACACATTTTTTTTTGTTGCCTTTCATGTCCACTGACGAACCAGGTATGAAGACTAAGCCTTGACAGCTAGCATGGGATCTAGACACCACTATGATGAGGAACCGAAGTTTGCGATGGGGGGGGTGGGAGAGGTTGGGATCTACTTCTACGAAGGGTCCACTTAGAGACGTCTTACCTTGATGGACAATTTGTCCTTGATAGCAGGTCTGGAGATCTATGGGGTTGAGAGCATCACACACACACATATATCATGCAGTAGAAAACGTTGGGGGGGCATAAACAAAGGAGGTGTGATGAGGGACCCACAATTGGATGCTATATTACAATGTTGGTACTGCATTTTGTGTGTGTGTGTGATCTTGTCATGAAACAGACAAAAATGGCCGAAATCAACAAATGAGGAATGCATTTAAGATGAAGTTGTGACAAGTCAGGGTTCCTAACATTTTCCATCTCAAATTTTGTTGCTCATTACAAACTTTTAATTTCTTCTCAATGCCATCTGGCAAGGAAATGAGCCTGTCGATAAGGCCACGTTACACTACAATGGAATATTTTCCAGATCAGGAAACAATCGACATTCACTCTATTGTTTTGTTTTACAGCTGTGTAGGAATCCTTGCCAATGTTCCAGGGAGGCCAAAGCAGACTAAGTTGGGGCCTGACATTGGAGAGTAATACTCGATGTAAACAAAATGGATGATACGGAAATTGAAGAATGCATGAGAACATACACATCAGTACATACATGCAGCTTAGGACTTGTTGGGTTGAGTGTTAGTTTGTTATATCAGTAGCGCAAAGGGAGAACACAATCTAATTGAAGGTGTGCGGTTGTGAAGTAAAGAATTAGGAAATCTCACCAGACGGCCTTTGGGCTGGATCGTCGACGGCAGGTCCTGTTAGGGTGACACGTTTGTGTGTAAATATTTGTCTTACAGGAACAAAAACAGCTAAAGATGCTTTTACTTTGATACTTGGGGGGAGCTGACACTGATTGCGGTCCAGATTGATAGACTGGTATTAACCTTAACTAACTTACCCTAATGACTAACATTTATCTGTATGCTGTCATTGTGTTACAGCTGATTGACAAATAAAAACAACAATAAAAAACATATCTAGTGTGTGGCATTTTTCCCCTTTACTCGCCTGCTGCTATTTCTGCTGTGTGTAAAGAGTCAGAAAGGAAGAACAGAAACATACCAGGATGGAGCTAGTGACACTAGCGTGACCATTTGCAGGTGACTGTCGGGACAAATCTGGTGACTCTTTCTGCAGCAGAAAATACAAAATCAATAGTTTTCCTCATTTGAATATGCAGAAAAGTATAAAATTGTGTGCCTTTAAATCCTTACCTCACAGGACATGGACTGGGACCTGTAACTGGGTACAATCTTGAAGGTGATGCTACCCCTCATCTCCCTCTGTGTGGACAGAAATAAAATGCATGTTACATATGAGTTTTTCATGGAAACAAAACAACAATAATAGATCATAAAGACACTGATAGGCCCTGTATTACAGGTGCTGACGTTTATTCAATCCAAATTTCTGTTTGCTACCAGAGTGAGACATCTTGCTATGTGTGACATTTCAAACATAGCAAGATGTCTACTCTGTTAAAATCATACTGGAACTACATTAGTCCAACATCGTTCTTTGTGTCATTCTATAACACATGCCAAACTGAAATACTTGTTAGGAGAAAAAGAAACTAACGACCAGAAAAGCTGCCTGCACAGTCCAAATGATGGAACGTCTGATCTTTGTGACTTACCAGCATCTTTTGGAGCTGTTCTACCGTCTGATTGGCAACACTGATGCCATTAATCTCTCGGATCTCATCTCCTACATGCAGAGTCCCTGAAGCGGGGAAATAATGAATTAATGAAAGCTACAAATGAGGCTCTTGGGTGTTCAAACATCAGTGCTTGGCAAAGCAGAGGCCAGGATAAGCCCCGGGGGGGGGGAGCCCAACTACTGTAAGGAAGAGTTACATTTCATTGTTATTTCAATTACCAGAAGTTAGTCCAATAACAGTGGAACATAGAAATCATTGTAAATTATTCATAATCTCATCAGACTGACAAAATCAATGGCTGACTTTGCCTACTAAATATGCATGCATGGTTGCAGAGAGTATTTTTATATGGGTGGATACCTTGTCGATGAATCATTCCACCATGCATGATTCGGGCCACGATACAGTGGTTGAGTTCGTTCATTTTCAGAGTAATGCCCTAAAAGACAGACAGACAGATGTTCAAGGGCATAACAGATAACAGATTAGTAACAGTGGTGAGTGACAGTCCCTATACTGCATACAGTATCTACAGGATCGTCCCAGTACAGAACATTAGCATGCTGAGCTGTGATCATATGCATTTCAACTGCACCCTGATGCATTACTATGGTATGGCTGTGGGAGCAGGGCAATCAATGATGAACCAGTTGGCTCAACCTATTGCAGGGATCAGCAACATTTACTATCGAAAGAAAAAAAAAGGGTTGACTAGAAAGATGTCACAGCTAGCTATATTTACATATCACATATTTGGTGTCACATATTCATATATAGTCACTGAGATATGCAGTGGTTTTACATGTTCATTTTCTGTAACATAGCGGCCTTCACAACAAATCACTAGAACACTTTTACTGTGAAGTGGTTGAGGGAAGCAAATTACTCATTGTACATCTATAAATCTGGTCAAAGAACATGTCTCCATACTGGTTAGACCAAAAGATAAAGTGAGCATGTAAATTCACCCATATTTAAAATGTAGTGTAACAATCTGCAATATGTGCATCTCTCCATTTGTCTACCCACCATGGGCTCATCAGTGTTCTTCTGAAACTGGACCAGGCGAACCCTGGTGACGTTCTCCAGGTCCATGTCTCCGTTGGTGCTGTCAGGGGAGTCTCCGTTCAGGTAAGGTGAAGTGGGTGGAGGGGTCACCCTCAGCGCCTCGTCGCTGTAGACCTCGTGGGCCACCACATCGTGGGTCTGCAGCAGAGCCTGGCGTGTGCACAGACATGGCATCAATGTTAAGACTCATGGATCCAACTGCTCAGTATCTTAGCTATCCCTGTTTTCTCTATAGGCGAACCCAGTGGGAATGAAGCCCATTAACACTACAAGTGTGCTGTACACAGAGAATGTTTGGCAGCCATAAGCTATGTAAACAATTGGTGTGGGTGGCTGTAATATTGAGAGTCAGACTTCTGTGTGAACAACTAATAAATGAAACTACCAAAACCGAGTCAAGAGGAAGGTACATGTGGTTGTACACACAGTATGACTGTGTGTGAGAGAGGATAGCTCCAACGTTAGAGTGTGGCTTACAGTAATCCTCTTTGGGCACTAATCATGTTACTGACACAGTGTTTGTGTTGGTTTTTACAAACACATCTACTAGCTGCATTTGCCAAATGATCACATCTGCTCATCAGAGCAACATCATGTTCACTGATGATACATGACACTCACGGAGAGCTGGAACAGCTGGCACTAGAGGCTTTTGACTTATGCTGAACATTAGTGTGGCTGAAGGAAAAAAAAAAAGATGTTTACAAAAGCATCAGCACTGTTTGACACTGAATACCAACAAAACCACAACATAATTAACAGGCTCATGAATAAAGCCACAGACTGCACAGGAAAAAAGTTTCAAGTGTAAGAATCTGTCAGTGAGACATGTTTCTTCCCATTAGCAACCATGCAAAAGCCCTTCACACCCATTCAGGATGAAAACCCCAGCAGCTCAGGTCAGAGAGCAAGACAGGCTAATTTGATTGAACCAAACCTAAAGGGTGACAGCTCCACTAAGTGTCACAGCCTGAATCAGCACAGGGCTCGGCTTCTAACTGAGCTGAATACATGTCAGTATATCATCCTACATTTAGCTGCTGTGCAGTTTTATAATTGACAATACATCTAAAGAATACATCTACAATGCAACTTACAAAAGAGTCAAAGTCATTCACTCATTGAAGTAATGCAATCTGTCAATAATATCCTAAATCATTCCTCTCAGGTCTGTTTTAGTCACTAGACGTATCTGACAAACATGGTGGCGTTGACGCTCACTGCAAACGTTTCTGTATATCCACACTGAAGCCAGACTGAAGCCCCTCAGCACGTTTTCTGTTCCTGCCGCTCCAATGCTTCCGTCTCCGTTCTCCTTCCCCTGCGTGTGTCTGTCTCTGCCCAAGGGCTCGCCAAGCTCAGGTGCTAAGCAGCTTTGTGGCCGAGGGAGTTTATGTGGATTGTCAAAAGAGCCCTACTTCTGACACATTAGGCTGTAATCTCACACACCAATAAGCATGCTCTACGTGCACAGACCAAAAATCTGTGTGTGTGTGTGATACAATGTCCCACCATGAAATGTGGCTGTGTGAGGATCCTCCTAAGCTCCTTGGCCTCCATGTTCTCTGGGTAACACGAGATAGTTTCCAGTACCTGGTTGAAGAAAAACAAAGATGAGGAGAAGAGTATGAATATGTAACAGCACAGTGTCTGCTTCTGTCATCATCTGTCTATTATTTACTTGTTTTGCCTAGAAACATTGTTGAGTTAACATTACTCATCATTTGGACTTGACCTGTCAATTGTTAAATACTAGAAAAATTATCGTTTTCAGATTATTTATCATCAGATTAGTATTAGTTAGTTTATAGAAGCAGGAAGGAGACCCCAGTTTGTAAACCGTGTTCTCATCTTTTACTGAGTGAACATGAGCAGCAAGTTCCTCACCTCTTTGGCTCTCTGCACTCCATCACTTGGAGGGTTCCTGATCTGAGGGGATGACCTGGTGTTGATTTTGTCATAAAGCTGAAAGGTAACGATAATTAACATACAATTAGGCCCCAAATACAATGCAACAGCACAATCTGACCTCAATCAAAGACAATAATGTACAAACTACATATTTTTTTATTGTACAAATACTCTATGAAGCTGACTCTTGACTTGTCATGACACCTACTGGGCACTTTTGGTATTACACATGAAGAGGTTCTGGTATTGTGGTTGACTTACATCTAACAGGGTGTGGAGGTGCTGATCCTGGAAGACACTGTGGAGGAAGTCCATGTCTTTCTCACTGCAGTCTGTCAATGCATGAATCTCCTCTAGACTGTCCAAAACCTGTGATACTGCCCCTGTGCACACACACATATAAAAGTTATACACACAAATACAAACTGAATCCCAATCACACAGATACACTCACAAGTACACCAAGCAGTCCCTGCAAACATTCAGCACTACACAAAATGCAAACACTGAACAAGACAGACAGACTTATACACAAACACGCTACATGTTACACATCCACAAACAGGCAAAAAACGACAAAGGCCAAAAATAACACAGAACGAAGACAAACAACAGAAGTCACAACAGAAAACACATAAATCACACACAAACACTCAGAACTATTTTAACCCCAAGTACCTGCTGCATCGCCCACACATGCAGCAAAACCAGAGAAACAGCGGTACATGGCATCAATACAACATCAGAAAGAAGTTACTTCAGAAAGTCACAGTGTGGATGATGGGTTAGAAGCAGTATACCCCAAAAAATATAATATTAAAAAAATCTAAAATGCTAAAATATGCAGAGGAAAAAGAAAGACTTAAATCTGATATATTATTTCTTAAAAAGGTTTAGCCTTCCATTACACATGTACCGTACATAATAACATTAAAAGTGTAGCTTACATTGAAGTGAAGTGGCATGTTTAGATGATGGACAGTGCAGTGTGGTTAGAATATGGTTTCTTCTCTCTAAGAGGAGGTTTACTGTAGAAGTAATCTAGAGAGAGACTTCGACTGTCTGCTACATTTGAACCCACAAGCTGATTCTTAAATGACCACAGATTTATTAGTGGTAGATGAGATGATATTACTGTGATCGGAGTTTCCCAAGGCCTCTGCAGCCAAACCAGGGAACGACCTCTACCGCTTACGAATGATTTAATAAATATCTCGTGTTCAATTTAGACACTCCATCCTTGACACTTTTTAATCCTACGCAGAGTTTTAACATGGTCCTGAGTAGGACGACAAGCACTAGAAAGAAGCCCTGGAATAACAGATGAAAGATGGATATGGAGAAAATAAACCCAATCACCAACATGTATAATTCTGGGATAATAATGGGCTTTTCAGTCATTACTGTGAGGCATGAAAGAGATACAGCAGAGGAGACAACATGCTATTTAAGTTGTTTAAAACTTTAGAAGAAAAAAACCTTCTGATAGGTCTGTTTACATACATCATACTACTCCATTTAGGGGATCACATTCTGAACAGTTTCCTTACTTGATTTTCAGCCATGTACAGATCATTGATTGGTTAATCACTAAAAGCTTATGGTGTCACTCAAAGAGGCGCTTTTGAACTAACACCTGGAATACAATATGCTCTGTGTAAAACCTGATAATGATAGAAAATCCCTTTGTTCGTTAGGACGCATGTAAGCATCTTATCCTCTTCACCTTTGTTTTGGTAGGTAACAATCAGAATACTCTGTGATTGGAATAATGAAGATGCGTGTAAACAGAATATCATCTTAACAGGTCAAGAGGAAGCATTTAGTTTAAAAGCGCACTCATATTGTTTTTTCTTAAAGAGAGACAGGAGAGAACACAGAGGGAGCCATTTTGAACGATTAGGACCAACTTTATCCAATGCTATATGCCATGAAGAAAGAAATGCACATGATGATGATGATGATGCCATGATGATATCACACATCAAGATTCTATGGGTGGGGAGGGGGATACGTACTTTCAGCAGCTAGCAGTCCTAGAGACAGCACAGCAGAAGGAAAAACAACACCAAAGAAAGAGAGGCTGACATTAGAGGTTTACAGCAGCTATGGATCCAGAGTTTTACAACTCACAATGACAGAAAGAGAGAGAGAGAAAAGTAGACAACAAAGACTCAGGTAGCCAGCAGTGTAAGGAAGCATGAGCGCAGGTAGGGAATAAAAGGATGAATAGAGGAAAGAGTGGCAACAGAGAGAAAAATCAGCAGAAGCAGCCAAGTCTGTGAATAATCTGCCAAGTTGCTGCAAGCATCTACTCTACTACACAACTCTATGATGGGCAACACGTCTGGTTTATTTTTGCCATGATAGACCTCAAGTCACCAGGAAGCATGACTGCAACAGACTGCCAGCCTCAGCAGAAAGGACACACAAGTGGTGGTGTAAGTGTATCTGGCTGCAGCGGCTACATGTACACCCGAGCAGAAAACGTGAGGAGCTCAGCTCATTTTACTGATTCATTAGGCGATGATGTAACAGCGCTGCTCATTTTCTACGGTTTATAACAGCAACACGAGTGGTTTCAATATGCTGATAACTTGTAGAAGATACAGTTTTTCTTTCAAAGGAACTGAAAGTCGGTGAATGAGACAGGGAAGTGAGGCTGTTGGGCAACATCTGTCTTCATCCACACAGAGGAAGTTCTACAGACAGCTGGAGATCGCATTAGAGCACTAGAATAGAAACCACAAGAATGGAAACTGGGCAAGAAAGTGAACGTGATCTTTGGTGCATGTATACATGTTAGGAGGCTTCATCTTTGACCTTACGTAACACATCAGTGAACATTCACACAAAGGGAGAGCTAAATCTTTAAATAGATATCAATTTATACCTTAACTACAACATGACTTTACAATAACACCATTTGAATTTGAATGACATTTTATTATCCTTTAGGTTATATTTAAACTAACATTAGCTAACTTAAGATGTAACTATGTCAGCTTTATCATATATATATATATATATATATTATATAGTATATAGTATAGTATTAATATAGTTATATATAAATGGTGGTTGCTTTCACATAGATTGTTATTGATGGACACAAAGGAGATGTTGGCCGATTTTGCTGAACTGTGATTGAGCACAGAGCAAAAAGGCTCAGGACTTCGAAAGGGCCGATTTAGTGTGTGTCTTAACTTCTTTAGGTTGCTTATCCTACCTGCAAAAACTAGCAACTAGATCTCTCTGTTATAAGTACATTTGGAAATAACCAAACCTACCTACACCAGGATAGTGCTCTGCTGTGTGAGTTACCTGAGGAGGTGGGGTCATCTGAGAAGTCATGTAGCTCCTCTGGGGGGTCGCCATAGTAGGAATTAAACTTGTGGCTGGAAACAGCAGCAAGCACTGCACCCTGGGATACAGAGTATGGATAACACAGCTATTACATAAAGCCTCTACAATGCCCCATGTTGTGGGGGGTGTGTACATGTTATATGGTATATGAGGACAAACAATTTGACAAGAAATTAATCTGGGTCATCAGCAGCAGCTGCAAACTGTGGGAGCGGTGGCATTTCCTCTCATCTCAAGAGTTAATCAAAACTGTAAATGCTTCTGTCAATGCTGTGCTGACCTTCAGCTTCCTCCTGGCGTTGAACTTCCTCAGCTGCTCCACTGTTTCAGGCAGGTGGATCTTGTAGGCATAC